CGATTCCAGTGTCCATCCGGGTTGAATCTCCTTGGCCAGCTGGATTCCGAGTGTGGACTTCCCGGAACCGGGCTGTCCGCAGATCGCGACGATGTTCTGATCATCCTCTTTCAGATTGGCGCGGAGCTTCTTGCCGAGCACGTGCGTCAGATCCGAATACACCGCGTGGGTTTTGCTTCCGCGTTTGTAGTACGCCACCGCGTGCATGTTCTGATGGAACGCGTGACTCCAGACGAGCTCCCCCTTATAGGGACAGCGGGGCATCAGCGGGCCCCGTCGAAGTCAGCGGATCCTGCTCCCTCGAAATAGGAATCGGGGAGCTTTCCGCCCGCCTGCAGTGCACTGATCTGTTCCTCCCTTCCTTTACCATCTATCGAGATGGCGAGGCATTCAATGAGGTTGACACGCCTACCGACGTAGGAACTCCCGTACAAGTGCGAGAAAATGAAACCGATCTGCGCGGCGTTCGCCAGTGCCGGGTTCGTCCTCGTGAGGATGGTGAGCTTCGGCCCGTCGGTGACGGTCAGATTGTTCAGGACGGTCGTGACGGGCGCGTCCGGAGTCTCCGACTTGGTGAAGGTCATCGGCTCGCTCAGAAGCTCAGACGCGTCCCTGCTCATTCCTTACCCTCCCTTATGACGCAAATGTTGCCAATGGCGAACAGAGTCACCGCAATCAACGGGAACACCGCGATATATGTGAGCTCGTCGGTTATGGTTGCGTCCTGGAAAACCGCTGACATTCCGCAGACGCTGAGCACCAACGTGAATATCGACAGCGTGCGGTTCGGGAATTTGAATGTGAGTGCATACACCGCCAGCGCGGCGATGTAGAGCACCATCGTAACCTCTTCCATGATTGCTAATCACGAAATTCGGTATTAATTCAGAATTGAGGAGATAGTAATTCGTTACGCGTAGGAGAGTCGACGCTACCCAGCACTAGGATGATGTTCTCAATGCCTCGTCAAATGTTCCCCTCGATCAATGGTTTTGTTCCTCGAAAAGTCCGAATTGTACCATAAATAAATCCGAGTTTTCTGAATTAATAACTGCAATCTCAATGACATAGCATGGAGGAGAAAACCGCCAGAGTGATGTGCAAAATCAAGCACTATCAGAGTCATGGAACCTTCACGATCACGGTTCCGAAATCAGTCATCGAGGAGCTCCGGCTGCAGAAGGAGGACAGCGTCATCGTGACGATCACGCCCGCGTTCAGGCCGTCCACGGAGGAATGAGATGAACCTACTAGATCTACTACAGATAGAACTGCGCGAGATCGAGCTGCAGAGAAAACTCCTCGATGTCCGCGAGAAGGAGATCCGGGAGGCCGTCGATGCGATCATCAGCGACATAGCGAAGGGAGGTAACTGATGGACGTCCTGCAGCTAATCGGGTTGGATTTCGCCCAGGATGAGGAGGATGCGAAGAGGATCGAGGCGAAGAGGATCCTGGAGGAACGCGACTGGAAACCGTCATGGATCTCCGTCAGGACTTGCCTTGTGTTCTTCATCCTTCTGACCCTTCCGGACATTGTGCGCTACGGCGTGAATGTGCCCATCGAAAACCTCGTATTTTCTCTACTGCTGGCACTGTTCTTCGAGTCGATGATTCTGGTCACGTGCCTGCATACCCGGACTAAGGCACGCTACCCCGAATATGATTGGGCCGAGGCCTATAGGGAGGATGAATCCTGATGGACATTTTGAAGTGGATGGCACAGTCGTTCGAGCCGAGTGCAGACGAGGCTAGGAGACACGCCGCGAGGAAGATCCTAAGCTATCGCAGGCCATTGAAATCCTCCATTTACACCCGGGGATCTTGCATGATATTCATCATCATGAGCCTGACGATTATTGTTGTCATGGGGCACGCTGGAGAAATTGAGGGCGAGGGAATGGCAGGATACTATTGGGGAGTGTTCTTGGCTATTGCCATGCATGGACTCGTCTATCTGAATTGTGAGTCGTCACGCCGCGTAGCATTACGCCCTGAATATGACTGGGCAGAAGAGTATAGGGAAGAAGGATCCTGAACGATTCTGAATTAATTCGCGCGCGATGATAATAAAATATGGTCGCAAAGAAACGCACCCCTGCTAAGAAGAAGACTGCGCCGAGAACCGCAGGCTCCAGATCTCTGGACAGTTATGGAAAGAAAAAGGTCGAGACCCGCAAACCGGTTATCGGCCAGAAGAAAAAGAAAAAAGGGAAAGTTGGGGAATCTGTAACGACTCATGGAAGTCACGGAGGCTGCAGAATCTCATCGACCACCTCCCGCTATCCCGGAGTCACAACCGTGCACCAGAAGTATGAACTCTGACGGAAAACGACCATTTACCGTCACGCTCAAAACTATTTAAAGCGGGGAGGGGAAGAAACCCCCTCCCTTTTCCGTCATTTTTTATCGAGCAGACTCAATTTTCTTCACTTCTTCATCAATCTCATCCTTGTGCCCCATCAGTGTCGTGCGGGGAATGCCGAGCTGACGCGCTATCGAGCTCCAGGAGGCCTCAACGGGCTTCGACCTAAGCAGAGCTACCTTGTGAACGGGAAAGTCCTTCCTAGGCCTTCCCAGGGCCACGCCCGCGGCCTTCTTCTGAGCGAGTGCTTCCCTCGTGCGTTCAGAATTGATAGCACGTTCCCACTCGGCAATCGCTGCTAAAAACTGGATGGACAGCTTACCGGATGCGCTGCCGGGATTCAGATCACCATAGTCGAGGGAGATGATCGAGACGCCCATCGAGGAAAAATCTTCGAGCTCGCGGAGGAAGATCTGCAGCGAACGCATCACTCTGTCGAGCTTCACGACGAGCACCGCCTTAAAGGATCCTGCGCGGGCATCGCTCAGGAGGGCGAGCCATCCAGGGCGGTTGGCATCCTTCCCGGATGCCTCGTCGGTGTATTCCTTAAAGACAGTGTACCCGCGGGCCTCGGCGACCTGACGCAGCGGGGCAGCTGCATCAGCTCGTCCTGGAGAACTGTCGACACCCTCGCGTAGAGCGCCACCATCATTCTGCGAGCCTCCAGACTGTCATACGGTTGTGGGAGCAGGGCGAGATTGTGAATCCGACGGACTCGATGACTCCATCCTTGTGAAGCTGATCGAGGCGCTTCCTCGTCCAGTGAACGCAGGCGGTGCTCATCTCCGTCTCCGTGGCCTGCGGAAAAAGAAACGAGGCAATCTGACGAGTACTGAGCTCGCCCGGAATCTGGAAGAATGCTTCCAGCACCTGGGCCTTATTCGGCGGCCTCATTCGGATTCCTCCTCGGGAACCGGTTCATGGTTGTTGCAGTAATCTCCCGGGCAGACGATGAAACGATAATAATCGCAGTGCGTCCCATCGTCGGAGGAATGGATGCAGTTTAAGCAGCATCTTTTCACCTGACTCCCTCCCTCAGTGCCGTATTCATCCTGCGAACCTCCTCCAGGAGATTGATCGCACGAACCTCAATGTCCGCGCAGATCTGTTTCATCGTGAGCTGCTTCGGCTGGGCCATCCACAGCTCCAGATCCATAAAGCAGCGGTGACATAATTCTAGCTCCTCCTCGGCCGCTAGGGAGCAGAGATACCAGCGCCCGTCACCGGATGCCAGGGCTCCGCATCTCGCGCAGCTCATAATGCGCCCCTCTTGTGTGCGCAGGCCAGACAGATGAACTTGCCAACCTGGGGAAGGGGAATGAATTCCTTGCATAGACATTTGCAGTCAACGCAGCGTTCAATCGCCTGCATCAGCTGCACCTCTTGGATGATTCCCAATGCTGGCCGTCCTTGGGATAACCGGAGGATGTGCGCACGATCTCGCCACGATCGGCGAGACAAACGAGCTTCCTCCAGACACAATTGTATGCGCGCTTGAACCTGATCGAATCGGAAGGATCCTCGAAGCGGGCCACGAGGTCAACGGTGCTTATTCCGGGATTCTCCTGGATGCACATGATAATCTGTTCGCGTGTGGGCGTCATTCGTCGCCCCCGTACTCGATAAATTTGTCGTAGAGCAGCATACCGGTTTTACTGATGATCCCGTGACGCTGGAGAAGACGATATTTCTCCTTGCATGTGCGTTCGTAGGTGATATACTCCTCTTCAATCATGAAGATCTTCTCCCACAGATTGTAAGGCATGGGAATGTCGCCGCACACGTTCACGTGACGGCTGACAACCTTCAACAGGGCACTGGGCCTATAGTCGCTCATTTTCTAACCTCTTTTTTTGGTTCGAGTACACACACGCACACACACGCACACACGCAACGGAGTCTTTTTGGGCCTTGATTTTAGACCGAATGTCTAAAAACAAGCCCAAAAGAGCCTCCGCTAACACAGCTCCGGATTGCTGGAGTTTTTTTGGGCATGAAGGTCAGCGCGACCCCCTTTTTACCTCCAAAACTCAAAAATCCATCATTACTGTAGAACTTGCGTGTGTGTGCGTGCGTGCGTGTGTGTGCGTGCGTTCGCACCGGGAACAGGGCACTCGAATCCCTGGGAGGAACCAGATTCCTCGATTCCCGCGTTGATTCTCTCGAACTTCGCGCAGTAATCGAAGGCGTCTGAATTGGATCCAAAAATCAGTGTAGCCAGCTCGGAAGGCTCCGCCATTATCTGGGCGGGGCTACCACTTCTATTCTGGCTCATCGGATTTTCTGGATTAACCATTCAGGCACCTCCGTATATGTTCACATTCATCGCCTTTCTCATATCGTCTAAATCTACGCCGATATACCTCAGCGTGACCTCAGTCGAATCGTGGCCGAGGATCTTGGCAATCGTGGCCACGGGAACTCCGGCGCGGTACAGTGCCCTGCCGAACGTCCTCCTTAAAGTGTGGTTGGAAAAGTGGAACCCCAGCTTAGCCGACAATGGATCTGACACGACCTTATCAATGCCATATCCCTCCTCGGAATAAGCGTGGAGCCTTCCACCTTTCTCCCAGATGATCAGGTTCTCCGGAACGTGTGTGGACATCGGGTATCTTTTCATGGCTTTCGCGATCTGCTCGTCCCGCCTTCTAATCGCAAGTTGGAGGATCCGCCTCGTTCCTGCCGCATAGGGGATTGCACGGGGCTTCCCCCCCTGGGAGCCCTTGCCTAATACGGTCAGGTATTCCTCGGAATCATGCAGATCAGACACGCGGAGCCTTACCACCTCCACGCGCCTCATTCCCAAACACAGCTCCAGGTGAACAACGATCTCCTGGATGGGCGTCTTAGTGCAGCTCAGGAGTTTAGTCGCTTCATCTACGGACAACCAATCTACCTTCGGCCTGGCATCGCGGGGCAATTTGTAAGAAATCTCCTCGAATGCCGAGTTTTTAAAGTGTTTCAGATACTTCTTGAGAGCACTGAGATAGCCCTTTCTAGTGGCGACGGCGAGGTTATCCCTCGCCATCCCATCTAGGAGCTGTTTCAGATCTTCTGCATTTATTTGGTTGGGGAGTGTATGCAGATTAAGGCGTTTCATGTAACACAGTACCGCGTGCACAGTCTCGCGGTAGAATGTGACCGTTCTCGGCGCCAGCGTGGTTCCTTGGAGGTATAGGAGGAACGCAGCTTGTGCGTGTTCATCATCCGAGAACGGCCTGGCCATCTTAATCGTCCTCCGAATAGTGACGGGAATAGTGTTCGCAGATGTTCCTGCAATCATCAACGCGTGAATCTGTTCTCCAGCACCACGCGCAATCTCCTTCCTCGTAGACGCGGCCATCGTAATGGTTGCAGTTTGCACAGCAGCGGATAATCTCAACCTCGGAGTCCATCATTCGGATGCCTCCTTTTTCTTGGGGAATGGTTCGAATCTTCTCCAGGTTGTAGGGTGTTCATAGTTGTCAAACACGCCGTATCTTCCAAAATACCATCCGTACTCCAATTCTCTATAAGCTTTCTGACTTCCCCAGAACCAGGGAGAAATTATCTTTTCCAGCTGCCAGGGTTCAGGGAAATCATACACGATCTGGACTTTAACAAAAGGCATTCTCCAGACGCGGCTCTTCTCCGGATCTCTCAGGAAATTTCTTTCAACGTCCGTTATCGCAGTGTTGATAACGGAAATCTGCTGATACTTTTTGATCGGAATCGCGAAGGTGTAGCTGTTAATCCAGGAATATTCTCCTTCATTAAACCAGGGCTCGGGCTCAATCCATTCCTCCGTTTCATCGTCCCATTGTCCTTCACATTTGGGATCGACCTCAAACAGCTGATGGTTGATAAAATCGCGTCCGCTTCTCGGGCAATCGTGCAAATCTACAACCACGGTCATCTGGCCCGGAATTGATCTACTGAACGGGCCGCCATATCTTTTCATCTCTTCCCATACCGCGGGGGTAATAAGAAGATGGTAGGTTTTTCCATCTGCATCGTGGAGTCTCCAAACGTCGCCGCCTCCGATGGCCGCGCCGTTTACGTCCCTGATGCAACCTGCACCTCCGGAGGAGCAGCCTCCGGGGATGATTTTAAGCAGACTCGCGGGACGATATTCCGTACCATCGCAACGGGAATAATCCTGGGAGATCCTTCCCTTTTCTCTGCGGTAATAGTTGAACTCGTCACTCATTGCAGGGCCTCCTTGATGCGTTCCTTGATTCCGGAGAGATTGCTGGCCGTGACGGTGAATCCCTCGGAGATCCTGCTGAAATAGAACGCCCTCGGGCGCCCGGAATCCCAATAACCGCGGTTGATTGCCTTTCCGCGATAATCGGAGTGGAACTTGTACGGGCCATATTCGGCGTCGACGCTCATTCCGGACTGATTATGCTCCAATCTTCTCCCTCCTTTCCTGCATTTTCTGGAAGATGCACGGCTCACACACCTTCTGTCCTCCGGACAGTGTGACGTAGAACCATTTGCTGATCGGATAGCCGCACAGCGCACATAACTCCATATCCGAATTCTGGCAGGGAGTGGACTCGATACTATGTTCGGTGCACATCTTATAACCTCATCATGATCGCGCGCCTGCTTCCGTCCAGGAAGAACTCGGCCCTCGCATACATCGGATCCTGTTTCATCTGATCAATCAATCCCAGCACCTCGCCGAGGGTTTTCTGCGTGTGTGCGCAGTCGACCACGGTCGCAAGTTTGATATTGCTGCGTGTGTTTCTCATTTTCATAACCTCTTTTTGCAGCCAGTGAAATCTTGCCGGATTCTGGCTGCATTCTTTTTTCAGGGAGTCGCGTTGACGAGTCCCTTTCTCATGTTTTCCCTGGCCACCCATGCGACAGATCTTCTCTGCTCTGCGGCCTGGGTTTTCAGGAGCTGCATGTCCTCATCGGACACACGGATGGTAACTTTTTGAGTTAGTTGCTCCATGCAATGACATCCTTACTCAACTATATAATGTCATTGTCGGACAATGACAGTCAACAACCTATTATCGAGCCAATTTTATGGCATAACATGGTGAATCCGCAACTTAGCGTGCGGTTGACCGAACAACAAATAGCAGCAATCGACAGATTGATCGAGCAGGGAGAGTTTGGCAATCGCGCAGAATTTATTCAATATGCTGTAAGAAAAATGTTAAAGGGTTTTGAGGGGAGGGTTCCTCCCCTGGATTGATCACCAGAATGGCCACCAGTTAGTAGCCTGCTCCCAGAGTCCGCCCAGGGCGGCTCCGATCTGGCCGATGAAATTCGTAAGCGGCTCCAGGAATGCGGTCGCTCCCTGCACCAGGGCGATGATTCCCGCGATGATCAGCACCTCGTGATGGTTCAGTCCGATCGCGATAAGCAGCACGTAGAACGTTCCGCAGAAGATGATGCTCGCCAGGTAGCTCGCAGTCTCGTCTCCGGAGAACAGTGCGTCAGCGTTGAAGGTGAACAGCGCGATGATGGTGTTCCAAATCTCGTAGATGTTGAAACTGTAATCCGTGTTGTTGTACGCGTCCGGGTTGGTGCTCAGCGAGGTCACGAGGATAGACCAATATCCCTCATTGTAACACTGTTCGACAGAATATCCGGATGAGATCGCGTAAGGGTTCAGCAGGATGTAGATGTTCATCGTCACGCCGTTGAACTCCATTTTGAACTGACTCGTGTAGTTGGCCGAGTTGAATCCGCGCACGATCTCGGTCGCGGTCAGGTAGGACACTCCCGAATCGGATCCGGACAGCACGAGCTGTCCCGCGATGCCGGACTGTGTGAGGTACTGATACCAGATCAGGGACAGACTCGTCGTGTTCGCGGTGACATCCACGGGCTTTCCGTCCTGGGTGACTCCCTGATAGTTGGCCGTGGGTTGGAATGCGTAACGGTAGCCGTTGAACTGATAATAGAAGTCGCTTCCCTGCTCGACCTTTCCGGCGGAGCTGAAGAAAATGCTGCTCATCCTCGACTTGTCCATCGTCACACGCGTGTACAGATCTCCCTCGGAATATCCTCCGGATGCTGCACCGGTGTAGTAGTAGAGTCCGCGATCGGAATCATACGCGATGGAATAACTCTCGTGCGCATCGAGTCCTGAAACGTATTGGGACGGCGAGTAATTTGTCACACGGTCGCCCGCGATCCATCCGTCATCGAGCACCAGGTACGAGCTCGAATAGTTTCCGGCCGCGTTCGTTCCGTAGGGCGTGTAGATTCCGGTAAGCGCCCAGGCCTGTTCCTGCGTCGCATTGGCGTCCACGATTCCGCGGTAGTCGTCCAGGAGCGTCTGCTGCACATCGTCGACCTCGTTCATGTCCTCGTTGACGTCTGCGAAGATGTTGATAATCAGCGGGAAGAAGAACATGACGCACACGGCTATCATAAGATAGCGTGCGACCGTCTGCGTGTCTCCCGCGGATCCGCCTCCTCCGAGCATGTCACTCACCTCCGAAGAGCGCGCCGGACGCGTTGAGCGCGATGATGACAACCATCGCGATGATCATCAGGAACAGCACCGTGGCGGAGATCAGGCCCATGAGGGAGCAGATCAGCATCACGGGAATCAGGAGCACGCACATCGTCATCGTGTCCCTCGTCACCATCAGGACGAGGTACAGCGCGACGCCGAAGAGGATGAGTCCGACAACATCCCCGGCGCCATCGAAGAGATAGACGCCGAGCATGTGCTGCAGATCCGAGACCTGCATCATTCAGCTCATCCTCCTGTACTGGATTACGATTCCGATTACATTCAGGATTAGGATCAGATACATCACCTCGTTTTGAAGGATGCCCAGCGCCGAGGCCACGAGGGTCACGGGCAGGGCGATGAAGAAG